GGAGGGGGGTCACTGAGGTGTCCGGGTCCCTTGGCAGCCTGTGTCCCTGGGGGGAGGGGGCAGACCCAGCCTCTCACACAAACACCCATCTTCGCCCCCCGACGGAACCCCTGCACAAGCACCCAGGGCCTTGCACAAGCTGGGGGCTGCCTCCCTGCACACCCCCACGGGCTGTGGAGTGTCAGCTGGGCCCCACAAGGGGGTCATATACTAGCAAGTGTGGAACGTGCTGTATGGGGGGGGTTGACCAAACCCACATCCTCAGGCTGCCCTGGGCCCCAGGGGACAGCTCGGGGGCTTGGTGTTGGGGGGTCTCCCCGAGGAGAAGCGGGGGCAGCAGCAGGGCACCCTGGGTGGGCAGAGGGTTGTGGTTTTATTTCTTCACTACCCAAATCAAAGGCAATTAATTGCAGTAATTCCCCCTAGCTGAGTCTGTTCCATCCATGGTGGTCGTCCTCCATGGGCTCAGTCTCCCTGGCTGAGGAGGGCAGGAGAGCCCTGGGGGGAGGCAGCTCCCCAGGTGAGCCAGAGCAGGAACTCCGCTTCCGAGGGGCTCACAGGCCCTGACCTCCAGTTAAAACTCCTGCGGGTTAATGGGGAGGATTTGAACAAAACTTACATCTGGCTCTAGGGGAGGTAAAAGGATCAGAGAAAACCAAAAATAGAGTGGGAGAAGGTTTATTAAAAGCTGCTATTGCAAAGGAGGGTCAAAAGCAAATGAAACCTGGGTTAACAGACTGTGCATTCAGTCTGCGGTGCAAGAAGAAAATGTTAGAACTTGTTCTTTTTTTCTGAAAAAGAAAGAACCTTTGCTTCACTAATATTTAATACATGGATAGACATGGGCACCCTCACCCTGGTCCGTGGGTCAGGATAGTCCTGTGTCACGTGGGACACGAGGTGTCCTGTGGAGGAGCGGGAGCCCCACAGCAGTTGAGAGCTTGTTTGTTTTCAGCCTGTTGCAATATATTGCAGTTCACATCTGCCCAGTGTAGTGCATTTATGTTTTTTAATTTCTTATTTAGTCAATTTTATTACCTAGTTTTAACTAAAATAGCCCTGATAAAGTGTGTAAAAGGCTTAAAAAGGTCCCTACAGAGAAACTGCAGATTGCAGGTTAGCAAGGAGGGAGTGGCGGAGCTCACACTTCTAAACAAGGTCTTTGTTAGCTCCCTGACAAGGTAAAAACTGTCATCGTCTGATAGAACCTGACAAGAAGTTGGCCAGAAAAGCTTGGTTGTTAATGGCGAGTGTTTATTGTGCCTTCTGATACGAAGGGCAGCATGGAGCCATCACAATTATCAAGACATTGTGGGAAGCCGACAACACATGGAGGCTGAAGAGGCATCGAGGACGACAGGGTATGGGAGGACAAAAGAGGTGTGGGACAACAAAAAGAGTGAGAGACCAACAAGGTGTGGAGGCCAAAAAGGTGTGGTGAGAAGAAAAAGAAGTTGAGGAGGCTGAAGAGGTGTAAGGAGTCTTGAAATGGTGTGGAAGGATGACGAGGTGTAAGGAGGCTGATGAGGCTGACGAGTTACAGAGGCTGTAGCACTGTGGGAGGCCAAAATGTTTTGGGAGGCTGACAAGGTTTTGTGTCTAAAACCGATTTGAAGACAGAAGTGGTGTGGGAGGCCAAAGGAACTTGGAGAAGCCCATAATTTGTCAGGGCTGAAGAGATGGCGGCACTGTGCACTCTCATCATCAGCTTTGCCACTTTTCCTGACGTTTTGTTTGTCTGCTGTCTAGTTCTGTACTGGCAGCAGTTTGTTGCAGAAAAAGGACACGATCCTTCCCTCGCTCCTCACTGGATTTGTGGGTTCATGTGGGCTCGGTGTAACTAGTAAGGTGACCCTGAAGAGAGGTGGTGGGGAAGCACCGGGCAAGATGTATGTGGAGCTGCTTCGCTGGGCGCTAGGGGGGACACTGTCCCTTCTGGTCTCTGGGTCCCCTCCACAGAGGAGCAGTCGAGAGCTCTGAGGCGAGCTGTGGGACAGTTGTGCCGTCTGCCCACTTTTCCCCTGGCAGTCACGGGGCATCCAGCTTGTTCTCGGGTTTTTACCGTGGTCAGTGCAGACACTGAAATGCACCTTCTCCTCCAGGTCACTCTGGCTCCTGGGGGTGCTCACAGGACCGTGAGCGTGGTCCAGAGCAAGCTCTCTTCAGCTCAGCGAGCTTTGGATCCCTTGCTCTCAGAACTGCATTTTTTTCAAAATGGTCAATTGCTTTGGTTGAAGGCTCATTCCTTGGGTCATTCAGGGTTCAGTTGCTGACCCCTGTGTATGTTTGTCTGTGTTGTGTTGGGGGTGAGTCAGTGTATATAGTAATGCTGTTGTTCAGACCTTATCAAAACAAACAACATCTAGTCCTAACAACAGCAAGGAGGAAAAAAACCCTTTATTTATTAAAAACAGAGGGCAGAAATAATTTCAAAACATCAGCTGAATTTTATTTAGAACTTAGATGTTATCTCTAAAGAAATAAGATCTAAAAGAGACTGGAAGGTGACAGGGTGTAGCACTCAGCACACTGAATTTAGAAAAGCAGCTACCAGCATCCTGATTTTCTCCATTTTTCATGTTTGTTGTTTTCCCAGAGGCTTTGGATATGAGAAGCTGGAAGTCATGGGGAAGTGTTGTCAGCAGCTGGGTCAAATATTTCACCAGTTTAAGCCTCTGTCCGAACAACTTTCTGTAACAGAAAGAGCAGTCAGTGTAGCATGCCAAAACAGCAAAAAGCCAGGCTTAGCTGTGGTACTTGACCTAAGCACCAAAGAGGTGACCTCTGGCAGAACTCGCTGAGGGCAGAGGCCGAGTCGCTCACCTGCAGGTGCTCGCCAGGTGCGAACGCTGGCAGTGTGTCACGTACCCCGAGTCTGATCTTGGATCCGTTCCTAAAAACACACCTGCATGGAGCAGGCACTGCTTCCGCGAGGGGAGGTAACATCGCCATAAATTCTAGCCAGCAAGAAAACTGGTTGTAGAGACCAGCTTTTGTGTAATAATCTCTCAGAGCATTTAGAAGCTTTGTGCTGGTATGCAACCAAACCTGAGGCCAAAGGGGTGCTTAAGCTAAAGTATTTGGGTGCTCTTGGTCCAGAAGCTGGTACAAGCCTCCACAGTTATAGACAGTTATGATAATAATAATAATAAAAAGAGTGAGTTACCAGCAGATCGACGAGGGCCTTTACGTACTCAGGAGAAAGCTCATCAATACATTCCTTTAACGCTGCCAAAGCGGCTCCGGTCACAGCGTCAACGTTGTACTGCGAAATCAGCCCAGCGTAGACCTGTTCCGCGGAGCCTTCGAGCAGTGTCAGAAGAAAACTGGGGACAACGTCATGGGCAGAGCCAGCTCCTGCAGTGTGAGGGACAGAGTGGAGCCCAGTGAACAAACCTTTCACCCTTTATTCCCCTCCATCCCAGGAATGACATACACAGCACACTAGGATTTTGCTGAGCGTGTTCTCAGCTTTGCAGGCTTTTTTTTAAAGCTTTCAGAGCAATGGGTTGCAGGATCTGCTCTGTTGCACAGGTCCCTTGGTGGAATCCCCCCATTCATGGATAACCTTCAGCTTGCCTGGTCCTCAGCCCCTCTCCCCGCTTCTTTTCAAGCTTTGTGGGATTTTTAAAATCTTTTCCATGCATCTTTGCTACCTTATGTTATTCCCCATCCTCTAAACAGATATCAAAAACCGATTCAACTCCCTTCTCTGAATATATTAATGTATTCATCACTTAGACTGTCTTATCAGTGTACAGCATATTCCTGATCACCCTGCTGCTTCTCTTACTCTAATTGCACAGAACTGTATCTTGGTTAATGACCTCAGAGGAATTACCCAGGCGGCGAGTGCTGAATTACATTGCCTCTGTTTTCATATGCATTTTCACCTTCCAAGTGTACTTCTTTCCCCATATTTATTTTCTGTTTTCTGACGCTTTGGCAGCAGTGTTGCCTCAGATTAGGCACCTTTGTGGGCTCAAGGAGCCAAGCCTAGAGGTGCTGTTAGGTGATGGTCGTAGTAATCCATCATTAACTAACAGAGTAATGTTGGTTTCGTTTTGCTGAAGGTTGAATCTCCACATCTGCTCTCGCCCCTGGGAGCAGCAGGACAGATCCTCTAGTCCAGGGCAGGTGCCTGTGCCATGAGGGGGTGTGTTGCCACCGATTGGCCTGACCCATCACTTTGAAGCAGAGTCAGGGTGAGACTTGAGCGGTGGCCATCACACTGCAGAGACCAAATCTACTTGGATGAGACCTGCTGTGAGTGCCCAAGTGAAAAAAATCTCAGGGACCTTACATGAGCTGCTGTGATTAGTATTTTCTTGGAAGCCAGGTACCTAAATTTCCCTGTTGTCACCACAAGTCTTTGGTGGGAATCAAGGGGGCATCGTTCTTGCCAGCAGGGCTGCAGCACGCTCGCTGCAAATTTTAAACAAGGCATCAAGATACCTTTGGGTTGCCTCCTAGAGTAGTTTCCACCAGGTGTTTTCATGGTACTCTGGGTAGTTCAGATACTCTGTGCAGAAGTTTAATGAGTTCACAGTTATTTAAAAAAGAAAATATTTTGTTTAATTGGCAAAACTTACCAAGGGAGCTGCAGAGCACCATGGTGATGAGCAGAGCAGCAGTTAGCTTCATCGCCAAGCGCCACTTTCTGTCTGTGCGTGTGGAGCTGGGAGGGCCCGTGAGCGTTGGCTGCAGCTGGGCGTAGGAGGGCTGGGATATATCCGTGGGGAATTACGCAACGCGGCGCAGGAATGGGCCCGGCAGGTCACACAGCTGCACTAGAACTGGACCCAGGTCATGCTTGTTTGTCAAGTGGACAGATGAGAAATGTGGGTGACCTCTGCTTTCGTGGCCGGCTGCCACACGAGCGTGGCGCTCTGCCGGGAAGGGTTCACGCTGACATTGCCCGTGGGGTGCAGGGGTGGGGGCTCAGCACCAGGACTGAGATTGCTCCGTCCCGTCGGGTGCAGAACGGCAGAACCAGCCGCCGATAAACGCTATCGAGCCGTTTCGTCCAAGGCACATTCAAGCTCATTTATTCCAGGCTTCTGAAGTGATTTCATGCCGAACTGCTGCCACTTTTCTTGCATAATTATCCTCTATTGTTTTCCCTGCTTCTCTTCTCTAATTCCAATTCTGCAGGGATTGACATGTCTTTATAAACATCATGATCTGTGACCTGGAAATATATATGTATATATATATAAAAGCACAGGCTGATGCATGGATGAAAATAAGCACGCATTAAGGAAGAACATTTTTAATAGCTTCTCCTATACAGCTTTTCAGCCAAATGCACACTGTTGAGACAAGGAGAAATTGCCTCCGTAAACTCCGAACTGGCAGCTGAAGCAGATATGTTGATAAGCTTTGGAATAATATCACAGTGTCACTCCTGAACTTGAAGTGAAACATGTTTTTAAGGTCAAAATGAACAGGCTGTTGGGCAGCTGAAGCGGCGTTCAGCACAGCTGGCTGATTCTTGAGTTGCAGAGCCAGCTCTGGTAGCTGGCAGCCAGGAAGGGCTGGGGGCCTCCTTCAACTTCCCACCCATGTGGGGAAGGTCCAGCTGCTCTTCATCCTGCCCTGGGCTTCCCGGGGCTGGCAGAGCTCCTGGCACACGTGTGGGCCCCGCTACAGCCCAGAGGGGGTTGAGGTGGAGAGCTTGGGAGAGCAAAGCTCAGATCCATGGATGTTCCCAGTAGGATGCACGGGCTATTACTGACTTTGTGGTGCCAAGTTCTGCTGAAATTACCTACTGAAATCTGAAATTACCCTGGCAGAAGGGAAGCAGTAATGGCAGTGCACATCTTGGAACAAAATGAGACAGGAGAAAGGAAGGGTCTTCCTGTAGATATGGGGTGTCCTCCCTTCTGACTCCTCCTCTAGGAAAGAGCCTCCCCTGGAAATGTTGGGAGATGCTTTCTGCAAAAGGAAGAGCTCTGCATGAGTAACATGTGTGACGATCAACCCTCCTGGGGTCAGGATGTCATCTGATGGCTCTCGGGTAGTAAGAAATGCTGCACACTCAGCATATCCCTGCTGTGAGCAAGGAGGAGGCAGTAGATTTTACAGGGCCACATCTTCAGCTGAAAAAATAGTGTATTGCAGCAAATAAAATGGGGGGGAAGCTTTTTTTGAATGATTCAGCCACCATGCGTGCAAGCTATGTAAAACGATATGACCATGCTATTGCAAAGAGTACAAATTTTCCCCTATCTCCTTTCCCCCCACAAGCATCAGAAAGTATACTTTACCTCTGAGATCTTCCATATTCCATGTGCAACCAACAGCATTTGAACTAAATGTGTCTGCTCTGCTGTACAAATGATCCTTCTCAGCATCCGCGCTGAACAGCTCTGCCAAGATCTCCCTGTGGATTTGTCTGCGTAGTCTTGAGGAACTTTATATCTCAGGTTGTTACTTTGTCATTATGCTTTGTTTTTAGCAGAGGGTTTCAAAGTCCATTGGCACTCGAGTAAAACGTGATATAGTGGGGGCACTTGAAAGATAACAGGTCCCCCACTTCCCTCTTAAAATGTTCAGTGGTTGTGGAGGGGTGTCCAGGGCCTCAGGGGATTGTTGATGGATATAGTTTATTTTTAGATGGGTGTGAAGAACTATATAAACTGTGAATACCTGTTGACCTTCATATAGGACTGTAAAAATATATTATTTTAGGTTTTTTATGATGTGAAGTTGATTGTCTAGGTGACTACAGTACTGAAATCTGAAATTACAGTATAAAATTCCTTCCTGAAAATGTTCTCTTTAGATTTTTGTGCCATTTGGGGGGCAGCTTGGCAGTAGAGGATTTCAAGTTGTAAGGCTGCCTAGAGAGCATTAACACAGTCTTGAGGGTCATTCTCCAGGGGCTTTTCCCTCTCCCGAGGTTGGGTGGGCGGCTGTTTCCCGGGGGCTCCCTGACAAGCAGAGGTGGGTACCCCACGGGTGTCAGAGTGCTGTAAGGAAGGGTGGCAGCCCGGGAGCTGGCAGAAGACCGCTACCTCCAGGGTGTGTTAAATTTAGGGAATGGTCCCATGCTTTGGACGGGCGTGATCGGCTGCTGCTACCTGGACTTCAGGTGTGACATGCTGGGGACTCCCTGGCTGTCCTTGTGGGGACGCGCAGCTCAGGGGGGTTTGCAGAGGCTCCTCTGGTGCTCTTCCCCTCAGGGCCGGGTCTATTTCCTTGGAGTTATTTTTCTAATTTAAATTGGAAGACCAGAGGCTGCTCTGTTTTGTGCTCCAACATGTCTATGTGCCTGTCAGAAATTTCTAGGGTGCAGAAAAGCTCCTTCACAGATTTTTGACGGTGTTCAGAGACAGGTGTGAGCAAAGTGCCCTTTGGGGTGGGCTGTATGCTCTGGATAATATGCCAACACGTTCCTCTGCAGCACGAGCGGACACCACACCGTCCTTGGGATGTTTTTATGTGTTGTGTGGAATTTCTTGGCAGAGAATTCCAGAGAAGGGGAAAGGGGTTTTATTTTCCTTTTCGTTTAGGAAATGAATCCTGTTTAGCCAGGAGCAAGCAGAGCCTGACAGTGGCCGTCAGGCTGCGTAGGGCAGGACTGAGGGATCTTATCGGCCACTTGGCTTCAGTCTTCATGCTTAATCATTATGCTTTAAAAGAAAGAAGTGTTTGACGAAATAATAAACATGGTCTCGGAAGGCTTCTGTCAGGGCTTGTACCTTTGGCTTTGCTCCCTTGCAGCATCGCTGCTGGGACAGCCAGCGCCGTGCTCAGGAGGTTCGGCCACCTGAAACAGGACCCGGGCTCAGCCTGTGCTTCGGGCTGTGGCCCTTCAGTTTCTAAGCTGCAAGTTTAAGGCATTCAGTTTGAAGAGCTGTGGGGAGGTTTCACCACCAGCTGGCCTGGCAGGAGCTTCTCCCAATTTTTGCAGCCCTGGAGCAGATCCCACTGGGAGTGAACAAGGGTGCCCTTGAAAAGGAGGTATTTTTTTCATGTTCTTCTGGTTTTAAACAAATAATGTATATAATTCTGGTTTAAAAGAGCATGAATTTCAGATTTGCCTCAGTGACAAGCAGCTTAATGAGGTCTGTGATGAATGGGAGGGGAGTACATCCTTTCATGGCGAACGCATCCTGTTATTATCTCTGTGCTGGAACTATGGCACTAAATACCCCCATTCTGGTTGCAGGGACACATCAGGGTGGTGGGGTGGCGGTGCTGCACACAAACCACCTGGCTTTTGCGAGTTGAACCCGTTCTTATTCCGAGCATGAGCAATTCTCTGGGCACAGGCTGCCCAGAGAGCTTTTGGAGTCTCCTTCCTTGGGTTACGCACAACGCTCTCTTGTGTGACAAATGGTCCAAGAAAAGAGAGCGCTCAGCCCTCACTTTGTAAAAATCCATCATTTTTACCTCGAGAATGATTCCTGTTTTCATTGTGCATAACTTAGGATGACTGCAAAACAAATTACCAAATCCTACATTTTAATAAGATTAGTGAACAAAGACAGGTTTTTATTTTACTTTATTTTAATGAGAAGCCAAAATTACTTTGAAATATGGTGCCTGAAAAATAGAGTACCTTTGTAAATGTGGAGCTGAAAATGCATTGTTGGCATGGCAAAAAGAGATGGCCTTGTTGTGTACAGTCTAGAACATTCTAAATTTTTGGTGGCAAATGTTGTTTAGTCTGAGAAAAAGCTCAAGATCCTCAGTGCAGCTTTGGGAGAAGGGGTGAAAGTACAGGAAGAGCTGGGTTACTGCTGTCAGGCTGCAGCTGGAGCTGGGTCACAGGTCCGAGCTGCTTGTGGGTGAATCGGGTCCTTCCGGCTGGACGTGATACGATTCCCCGTGTCTCTACACTGTGTGCGACAGAATCTGTGTCGTGACACAGTCGTGCCTGTGAACAGGGGCTGGAGCATGTCAGAAACATGTTCGCATCTTTATGACCGGTGGCTGCTCTCTTTGGAAACTGGGTTGTAAGGTCCCAGAGCGACAGTTGAGCACATCTGCACTTGTTGGATTGAGAGGAGAGAGGTGACGGAAGCACTGGCAAAACCACAGCCTGGTCCTGTGCCTGCTAGGAAAGACAAGGTAATTTGGGTGGTTTTACTGAGAGAGCACGAGGAAGCAAAGATCTAATCCAAAAGTAAAGGTCTAATCCAGTAGCTGGGTCTAATCTCCATCCTGGGAGAAGTCTCCAGGGGGATCTTTCACAGCGTAGCTCAATACCTGCAGGGCGGGTGCAAAGACAACGGAGCCGTGGTGCCCAGTGGCAGTGGGCAGAGGCTGACACACAGGAGGGTCCCTCAGCATCAGGAAACCCCTTTTCCCCACTGGCACAGGGTGCTCAGAGATTCTGGAGCTCCATTCCTGGAGATACTCAGAGGCTGCTGGTGATAGTCCTGTTGGACCTGCCAGCCCCCAGAGGCCCCTTCCCAGCTCAACCAGTCTGGGATTCAGTGGATCATTCTGCTCAGTGCTGCTGTTACTGAGGGGCTCAGTGTTCTCAAAAGGGGAGACTGCAAAAAGTCACACGTCCTATTCCCCATTACCTCCCAAAAAGAAGAAAGCTCCCCCTGAAAGATGTATTTGCATGAAGATAAGCTTCTAGAGTCCCTGAAAAGACCCATCATGGCCCTGGAGACAGGAAACAGTGTTTGGAAATATGTATCCCTTGGCAAGGACCGCTAATCTGGATTTTCATTGTAAGCTACTTAATGCCATTTGGGGATTTGTCTAAAAGTGTTTGCTTTAGTTTTCCTACTGCTGGCAATATTGTCAGCAATCAGGTCACTAGAATCCATTTTAATTAATACTAATATTTAATCCCTGAACAATCAAAAGGTAAAGTCTGGGTCCAAACTCTATTGGGGAGACCCCATGTACTTTGGAGCATGTCCCGTAGCATGCCAGCTCAGGGAAAGCTGTCCACTGCCCCAAGTGCACAGAGGTGACAAACTGGGGACTGTGAGAAGGGGACAATGTGAAAACAATAGGATTTAGCATCTGCTTTCTCATACGGCCTTTCCTCTGGCGCAGCACAGCCCCCTGCAAGGACAGCAGGGGTTACCTGCTCACTTCTCTGCTGCTCCAGGCCAGCGCTGCGTTCCCTGGGGAGCATCTGACTGGGGCAGGCTGGCTCTGCTGCCCCCGGGATGAGGGGACAGGATGATGACAGCCAAGGGAAACGCTTGGCAGGCTATAAGTCATGAGCAGCACTTCGTGATCCTCTGGCGTTCCTGTAGCCTTGGGTTTAGTCTGTCCATCATGAATAGGTCTTGAGTTAGTGAGGATGTAGGTACAGATCTCTTGGGTCACACGCGAGGCCTCCACGTCCACCTGAGAGCTTCTCTGCTCATTCCCCTCCCCTGCAGCACTGTCGGCTCATGAAGCCGCCAGGTCCTGCCAAGGCCATCGCAGCTGTTTGCTGAGCACACCCCAGCCTCCCCGTGGAGAAGCTGGATCTCACTCCTGAGTCAGGGATGACCTGGACAGTTCAGTAACAGCTCTCCTTCTGCAGCTGGTAGAGAGGGAGGGCAGCATGAAGGGATTACAGCTGGAGACAACTGAGTTACTTTCATGTCTGCCTGGTGTTAAGACACAGATAAATTTTAAGAAATTTGCTGTTGGAAACACTGTGGTTCATGAAAGTAGGTGATGAATGATATTTTGTTGGGTTGTGCCTCTTGGCTGGTGCAGGTTGGATAATCTAGAAAGCATGCAGATAAAAATATGAACTGCTTAATTCTCACTTATAATCCGAACATTGAAAGGTTTAGCCACTGACTTGTCTTAAAACAGATCAGCACAAAAGCTTCTGCAGCTCCTCTTCAGGGGTTTTCCTTCCACATCTTCAGGGTGCCAGGTGGTTGGGCCAAGTCCCGATCCTTGCACGCTCTCCAGCCTCAGGGCTGCACAGCAGCACGGGCTGGGGAAAACTCAGTGTGAGACCCTCTGTAAACACATCCCTAGGGCACTTATTTTCATTTCTAGGAACCCTTCCCGCTTCTGCTTTGCAGAAGGGACCCTGGAACTAAAGCTGTTGTGTTTCAATGGCAGCACGGAAGAGGTCAGGAGCAGAGCACAGCTCCAGACTTTGCCAGGTAAGGGGTTTATTTCCATGGTAGTGAGGCTGCCCGAGCTGAGCCTCCTGTGCCATTCCCACATTTCCTGTGCTTCCAGAACCATCCGACCTACCTGGAAGGAGAAAGCAGACTGCTCCCCCAGCCCGAAGGATTATGTCTGACAGTGTTGCAGTTCACTTTGTTCCAAACACGAAGCTAAACTTCATTTTGTCTTCCTTGTATTTTGTATTTTGTTTCCAGGTGCATGCCACTTTTACTCTTTTGCAACCACTTTGCATGCCGTTTTCTGGTATCCTGCAGGCTGCTACTCATCTACAGCAGCTCACAGGCTGGTCCTGGGCTGTAGCCACAGAGGACAACGTTAGGTGTGTGTTTGAGGCTTCGTTAGAATGGAACTCCAAATCCCTTCCCGAGATCTCAGAGCTCAACCTTCCTGCAGGACGCAAGACCTACAGCTGCCTTATCAGTGAGTGATTTAGGCTAAAGGTGCACAGAAAAAGGCTTAATAAACACCATGTTCTCAAGGCAAGAAGCAGCAGAACTGGGCTTGACCTGCCCCAGGGTGATGGTTGATGTGTTTGTTGTTCCAGAGTCAGTGCTTTGGGCAGCCGCCCGCCGCAGGAGGAAAGTGCTGCTGGCACTGGGGAGTGGGAAGCTGTGAGCAGTTAGAGAAGCTGCTTTCACCAGTGCATGCAGTTTCTTCCCAGTGTCGTTTCAACAGGAGGCACGTTCAGGCCTTTGTGGAGAGTCCTCCCTGCAGATCTTCACTGACCCCTGCGAGGGACATGGCCCCCAAACTGGGCCTGCAGCCATGCTCCCTCTTTGACACCTAGACAGTGGCCAGGGCAGCTCCAATTTCTTCAGACACTCCCATTTCCACCCCCCCCTGCAAATCCCCACCCTGGTTTGCTGCCAGGTGCCAGTTTGGTGCTAAGCATTGAGCTACCCTGGCTAGGGCTGCTCTCCCGGGCCACAGCCTCGTCCTCCCGTGAAGGCCACAGAAAGGCATCAGCCATGAAAAATAGTTGCAGAGCAGCCACGTCTGCCAGATTTAATCCGATGGATAAAGGATACTCAGAGAGTTAATGTAGCAAAGGGAATGCCAGTGCAAGTTGTAAACCTAAACCATACCTCAGCAAGGCTCTGGCTGGAATGCCAAGCTCTCATGGGTGCTTAAAACTGATTTTTAGTAGTTCTATTTACTTGAAACTTGCTTTTCTTGCTAGATTTCCAGCACCTCTGGACCCAAAGAGTATTGGGATCCCACCTGAAACCAAACCTGGAGGAAAATCTCTGAAAAGCTGCCCCAGGGCACAAGACTCATCTGGGGAAGGACCTCTGGGGGGGCCCAGCATGAACCCAGAGTCCGGATGGACCAGAAACACTGGGGAGAGGCTGCTGGGCAGGCAGACTAACAGGAGAAATACCTGAATCAGGAATGAAAATGTATTTCTTAAAATCTTGAGGTTGTAATTCCCTGGGACTTCTACTTGTGGTTTTTTGTTTGTGTGTTTTTAAATGCCAGTGCTGCAGTTGTGCTGTGATTGAAGTTCTTGCTCCACCTGGCAGTAGGAACTCCAAGTATTTTCTAAACTTGTACAGGTAGTGAATTACAGGGCTGTAGGTTCGTTCAAGATGAATTCAGGTCATGTATTCCTCAGCAAAGATTTCCGGGAATATATCATCATGCCGAACTGTCCTTCTTCCCATTTCCAGAAACAGAAGGAGGAAGAAAAACTAGTCAGCAAATTCTGCAGGGTTGTTAAACAAAAATATTTACCGCAAGAGTTACTAAGTTCTTCCTCAACAGAACATTCCTGAATTAATGAAACAGCGCAAAAAGCAACTCAAAAGGATACATCCCAAAATACTGTAGATTTGTCTAATAAAAAGCTATGATGAATCCATAAGAAGAGACCAGAGGAAATGATTTAACTCACTTTTATCAAATTCAGACATTCAAGTAGCATTCAACTTTAAAGTTTTTTCCCATTTCATCAAGCTTTCTTACAAAAAGGTTACATTCATCCTAAAATACAAAACTCAATCTACAGAGCGCCTATCAAAGCACAGTCCCCTCGCAGATACAAACACGGACCAAAGCAGAGCATCTAGCAGTTATGTATTTAAATATAAAACCCCACATCACTGTAAAGCCATTGGCTTGCAAACAGTTCATGAACTACAGCACAAAGAAAGGTTGAAGCCTCCTCCCGTGTTGCAGAATCTCTGTACAGTGATTTTGAAGGACCGAGTTGTGTGTGCACAAATGTGCTTTTCAGTCTCTTGCTTACTGAAATCACAGCCACAAAACGCTCACCCGACTTTAAAACAAATCAAGCCGCAACGAAAGATGAACCTGAAGTAAGAACCACGGGGGGTGTCTAATTTGCAGAATGCAGACTTCCACAACCAACAGAAACAAAAGTAACTGTTTTCCTTAAAATCTTCCAGTAAGTACTGTCCTACCGAGACCTCTCGCCATACAGGAGCCTGTCAGAGAAAACAACTGTCTGTGCCATTTGCGAGTCTAGTGTGGAAAGAATGTCTAAAAGACCAAGTGCTCTTGGAAATTAAATTCTAAGCCGATATTTTGCTGTTCAGAGGGAACTGTTCTGGTAACAGCCCATTTGACACTGTCTTACTGAATGTGTAATGCAAAACAGGCCTAGAAATCAAACCAGCTTTGATGCTGAACAAATGAAACAGCCAAGGGGAGAAAACAGAAAGAGGGATGAAGTTTAAACTCATTCTTTCAATTCAGTCGATGCCACAGACATGGAATTTAAATTAGAGAGACAAAATTCTATCAGAACCTTTGTAGTTTCTCTTAAAGCCTAGAAGAAAGCTGCCTTCCACTACTCTGGGTATTCCTGGAGACACGGTTACACCTAGGGTCGCCCCTCTCTCCAGCACCTGAAGAAAGATCGATAAAATCTGTGTTTTTCAGCCTGAGCTGCAGCACCATCAGCATCACCGGAGCTCACACACAGAACGGCACCGGGCGTGGCATAAAGTGTGTTACTGAAAAATGAAACACTGAAGCCCCTTTGCAATTTGAGATGACAAAGAACCCCCTGCTGATCTCATGCTCCTGGGGAACACCAGTAGTGCCTGTTCAGGTCTGACCACGATGTACACGGTGGCCTCAGTGCTACGAGTCCTCTGGCTTCGGCCATGGACAGACAGACGGACAGCTCCCAGCCCTGCCTGGGGAGGGGAGGGTCATACAGCTTTCAGGGATGCACATCCCTGACCTAGAGATCTGAATCTTTGCCAGCTTAAAGCTACAGTAAAAGGAGATGCATCTTTCTGAGGCGGTATCTCCCAAAAGCTTCCTGTTTTGCCTAAAATAAGCCCTGAAAACAGAAAATGCAAGAGGCCCGGTAAGAACTGACATTTATTCCACGCTAATACCTAAAGATTTACAGATACTGAACAGTAACTCTTTTCTCACCTAGAGACAGAAACTCACACCCCCTGCTCCGTAAGGAAGAGCCTCTGCCCACCTCAGTACTTCTTGAGGGTGTAGGGCAGAGCGAGGGCTGGCCTGGTGCTGGGGAAGGGCGGCGAGTTCCACACCGCAGAGCTCGTGCGCTTGAAGTAGCGCGGCTTGCTCTTGTAAAAGATGTCCTCCAGCTTGGGGCTTGCGATCGTCCCGAAGAGAGCGTCAACGTTGGGAGGGTTGTAGTACTGGTGGGTTACAGCTTGGCTAAGCAGATTCCCTGGAGAAACAAGAGATTAAATTAGCATTAATCTTTTTAAATTGAAATTGCTGGGTTTGATTTTGAATTTAATTGAACTGACATTCAATTTGAAATTGAAGAGGCTGTTTGTACACAGTGTGTCCCAGCTCTCCTCATCTCTAAACCCACTGAAATTGCAAAAGGGAGAAATCCTGCAGGGTTTGATGGTTTAAAGCACCCTAATTAAGCCTAAAGATTCGCCACAGATGACTTGGAGCACAAATATTGCGTGTACTGAATTCTGGCCAGGAACTAGAGTAAGTTTGTAAGAGTCAAGGTGTTTCAGCTTTTCTTCCTGCAGCCTGTTAGTTTCCCCACAACTTCTTAGCTCCTCAGGGGTAGGTGGAATATGAAATCATGGAACTGAGCATTTCAGAACCAGAACAGCTGCCAGTCTGAAACCTAGCCCATGACATCTGGCATTATTTTGCTTTCTAAAGGTAAATCAATGTCAAGCAGGCTCAAGGCCAGAGCACTAGTTCATAATCATTCCTTTCACACTGGCAAAATGACCCTAGCAGCTCCGTTAAAGCAGTTAAAAGTGTATTTTCTCCCCAGTATTGTCATAAGAGCAGACCAGTACTTTTAGGAAGAGGAACTGGGCAAAATCTTACACCAGGTCTGACTATGGGTTGGAGCAGAGCTGCAGCAGAGTGCGCTGGGAGCTCTCAGGCTGGACATGGGCCTGCTGACACGTACCGGTGGCCCAGGCAGGGATGGGCTTGCGAGGCTGGCTTTCGTCATCCGTAGAGTCATCACTGTTCAGATCCAGCCCGTAGTTGTTCGGGTTTGTCAGGACGGGCTTGGGAACTTTTGGGGCCTGGGGAGTCATCTGGTATGAGCTGCAGGCAGGCGAATTCTAGAAGACAAAGGTACCGGCAGGCATCAGGCATGGCAGTCAGAGGCCCGGCGGCCGGAATACCCCAACATTCACCCTTCGCTTCACCACGCAGCTGCAAAGCCTCAACTTTGGCAGTTTTAAGGTTTTGACCCAAGAACTTGACTCATGTTCTAAAGTTTTGACCCAATTTAATTAGGCTGCTTAATTGGCTATGTACAACACAAACAAGCCAGCAACTGATGCATCTAACACATGCAGCAAATTCCCTCTGATTCAAGCAAGGCTTAAATGCAGTTGTTACATCCTCAGAGCTGAATCAATGTGCTTTAAATACTCTACAACCAAAGTTCTGGGCTTGTTTAACAATATTAAACTGCTTATTATCACGTCGAGAACACACACACAACAGCTCAGGACAAACTAGTGTAATTTTTATGGGAACAGCATGACTGAGAAATGCAAGTGATAAAGAAAAACTGGGAACTGCAAATTTCCCCTTCCATGAAACAGCTCTCTAGAGTTAGAAAGTTTTTCTTCCCCATAAGGCTGCCTTCATGGCTTGAGTGCATTAACTCATATTTCACCGTTCTTGCATTTAAAGATTAAAACATATAGCTCTGCAAGGAGATAAAGCTCCATACATTTGTTTTCAATGTTCATTCACCTGCAGATTTTCCTCAAGTTCTAAGAGCAGTGAGGCCCCAACACTAAACCATTGCACAAGCTCTGCTGCCATCCCGTGGCTGCTCCCAACTTTGAACATAAATAACACTATTTCAGCATCACTCCTGCCCAGGAGGTTGATCCAGGATTTAAAGGAGCTCAGAAAGGCAAAGCAACTCCAACAGCCACTGCCTTACCCTAGCAAGGAAACCCTGGAAAACACTTGCTGCTTCCCTTCCCTCCTTTCCACTCCCCAGGTCATTCCACCAGGAGTCAACCTCTGATACAGGATTCTATAAACTTAACAGAAAAAGTTTATAGAATCCCTTCATCATTGAAAGGGAACACAAAAAGCAGAGGGTAAAACTGCCCATTGTAACAGCATGTCAGTGCTGGAATCGGCATTCTCTGATGTCATCCCTTAAAAGTTTCACCAGAGAGAGCAGAATTACCTCTTTGTTTTCTAGGTGCCGGGTTTGGGCTACATCTTTAGCCTTTTGTTCCTCTGGCAGTTTCTTCTGTTCTTGCTCCTGCCTCTTCATCTCTGCTAGCCTCTGCTCCTGCTGGCAAGCCAACATCACACAGGAATTAATTTCATGAACTAAACTACACTGTTAATCCAGGGATCCACATTTGATATGCAAAAAAATCTGAGCATCTAACTGCAAGTGTTTCTTGCCTGTGATGCTAAGGAGCACTGAGCACAGTGCAGACAGTGAACAAATGCAGCAGTTCAAGCTTTCATTGCAGTGGCACAAATTGCCCTTCCCATTTAAGAGCATTAGTTGCCTTCCTCTGCGAATGCAATGACATGCTTTGAAAAGTTTGCTACTGACTTTATCTTCAGGATAGAAACATCAGAAACCATCTGACTGGAAAAGCCTCTTCTTACACTAAGAACTGTCTTTTTAGAGGCCAAGTCGTCCCACTGTACAGTAACCATCCCACACAGGTCAGAAAAATCTCAGCTTGTGAGTGCTCAGTTCTTCCTACTGAACATAGAGGAAACTGAGAGGCTGCTGACCCAAAAACTGGCGTCTAAAAGCAAGTGAAATAACCCCACCCCCTGCAAGCGGTGCATACGTACGTTCGTCTTCCCCATCTCCTTGGGGAGCTGTCCTTTAGCAGCCAGTGCGTCCTTCTGCAGGCGAGCAGCCTTCTCCTGCTGCTCACGGAGCCTGAGAACCAAAGCAACAGACCAGTACTCTCAAACCCATCGGGGTTCCCCCATCCAGTGCCTGCCACAGCCCCTCCTTTCTCACAGCCTTTAAGGGCACTCCCCACCACACTCCCACCTCACTGAGCCCAGGATTTCTTCTCAGCAGCCTAGTACCCACAACAGTCAAGTCGTGCTGACATCACAAAGTAGCTCTTCACTGCTTGAGCCTTTCACTAGTGCCCTCTGCTCTCGCTTCTCTTCAAAGTCCCACACAGAATTTAATACATAAATGGATATTGTCTTACTTTTCTGCCAGGATTCTCTCCTGTTCCTTCTTCCTCTCCAGCTCTCTCTGTGCAGCTAGCTGCTTCTCCCTCTCCTGTTCTGCCTGTCTCTGCTCCGCAATCTTCCTGGCACGTTCCTGCTCCTCTTCCTTCTTCTTCTGCATTAGCTCTTTGTGCCGACGTTCCTCCTCCTCCTGGTAAGCCCAACAAGGCAGTTATTCCCCTTACAATGAACCAAAACAGGCTCCAGAGTCAAGGAGCAGAAAGGCTCCGTTTGACCCCAGTCCCTGGCACCTCCAGCCACAGAACAGGGGAAAAGCTCGGGGCTGCAGTCCCAGTGCCTCATCTCCAGCCACCTCAGTGCCAGCCCCTCCCTGCCCACATGGTACCCAAAGGGCTCTGGATCTCCAAGGGATGGGTTTAACTGAGGTTTAGGACTTGCCGACACCCAGATTACAGTTGTTAGTAAGAATCTGTCCTGCACCACAGAAGAACTGTGGGTCACAACCACCAAAAGCTGGCAGCTGGAGCTATTGCAAGAGGACACAGGAAGCACCACACTGAGGAGAGCTTCAAGGACAAAGCCTCCCCGCCACACCAATCCCGGGTGGGCTGGCTCACATGAGTGCTCCCACAGGTTCCTCACAAAGAGCAGCAGAGCACAGCCACTCTAAATGCACTCAGGGTGAGAGGATGGGCTCCAGCACAGACCTGCTGCTGTGCTTTTAGTTTTCTGGCCTCCTCTTCGTGCCTGCGCCGGGCCTCTGCTTCTTCCATTTTCTTGGCAGCTGCTTTCTTTTTGATCTTCTCTTCTGCCAGCCTTTCTTCCCGCACCTACGGCACAGGCAGAGCTAGCTGGATACCCACATCTTGGGTGGGACAGTGCTCTGCACATGGAATATCCTAGAGTAAGTCTCAAAGACACAGAGCTCCCTCCCTCTCACAGGGAAAAAGCATCCTTTTTCACCAGTGGGACGTGTGCTTTATTTTAAAAAGGTAACATTTAAGGAAATGACCTTCTTTTACACGTATCCACAGGAAGAGCCAATCCTATTCTGGTCTTCACACATCTAATACCACAAAACCCATCAGAATATATTCTCAGAACCATGAAATAAGAAAAGCAGATGGAGATGATTAAAGCAGACAAATGACTGCTGTGGTCACATGTGCAAATCATCCCAAAGACTCAGATACAGGAAAGGGTCTGGAGGAAGTATATTTATTTTCACCTCTTCATCCATCAGTCAGATAGGAGAACAGCTTCGAGTAGATAAAGCCTCAGGGCCATTAGGCTGGCTTTATCTGCTTGAAGCTCTTCTCCCATCTGACAGAGCCCTAATAAAGCCCATTTAGATTCATAATTCTGGAAAAAAAGGGTTTTATCTGCCATTTTCTGTAACCAAGAGAAAGGTGGTCACTCAGGATTGGCAAGTTTCTGGAATAATCTTTATTCAACCATTCTCCAGTTCACTCTCTAGATTTCAGCCCCTCTCTTTCTGCAAGGCACACTCACGTGGCATCATCCACCTCAACAGATTATTTATTCTCAGAGAGACAAACTCTACAGGTATACTGGGCCTTACCTTCTCGGTCTTCTCATCAAACAGAGCTCTCTTCTGCTCAATACGCCTTTTCCTCTCTTCCTCTATCTGCTCTGCCCGCTCCCGAGCTTGCAACACTTTGCGCAGACGGTCCTCACGCTTCCTGTAGGACACAGCCCAGCCTGGTCATTGCAGTCCAGGCAGAGGATTCCTTACAACTCAAATACAAGGCCAGACCAGCTCCTGGGCACCATGAATTCAATTAATCAAATACACCGTTCATTTAAACATCAGCAATATTTTTAAGCTCCATCTGAGACAGAGGACTTAAGACAAAAAGCTGAAGCAGCACTCAGATAGGTGAGTTGCCTTTTATTTGAATTCTAGATAGATACTACGAGAACAAATACTAGCTTTGTGGCGTGAGAGCAGGCAGACAGATTTTTGCTGCGTGTATGTACTCTGCAAAATAAAAGACCCAGCCACAGGGACCTAGAGGTGCAGAACATGCAGACTAGGCAGGGCAGAAAGCATATACTCACAGCTTTGCCTCTTCTAATCGCCGTTTCTTTTCTTCCTCCAGTTTTTGTTTTCTCAAGTGCTCGGCTTCTTGCTTTTTCCTCAGAGTCTCTAGCTTCTGTCTCTCCTTTTCCTGAAGTGGATTGGAATGTGATTGTACTCACCTGCCAGGGCTTCCTCCTCCCTCAACTTGCTCAGGTTAAGGGTGGCCCAGAGGTAACACCAGGGAACTGCAGCCAGCACCAGGGGACAGTAACAAGCTCGGGCCAACCATGATGTGGTCACAGATGTTTGGGAAGAGACACGATGGAAAATGAAGCAGTGGTGTTAATCTTAGAGAGCAAGAGAAGAAGCTGGGAAGTTGAAACAGAAGCATCAGCTCCTGAAGCCCAGGTAGGTTCCACGGATATGTTGGGCAGACAGCACCATGATTTACGTTGGTAAAAAGAACCAAAAAAGCAGCACTAATGCTTGGCATGATACAGACTTCCCGCAGCAAGGGTGGGGACAGATGGTGCTCCAGGAGACACCTCGCTGCTCCTCAGAGCTCCCGCCAGCATCTCCGCTTCCCGCGTAGCTCCAGCTCAGGATGAACCACCTCCGTCCAGCCCAAGCGCTTAAGGCCTGTCTCAGGCCCAGGCAGGCCCACACATCACCCAAACGTGGGCGCCCCTCTAACCCACCCAGCTAACTTGGCCTGAGCACACTGACAATGAGGAGAGCAAGCCCCAGCCACCACAGCAGATAGGTTAAGACAAACTAATGCCACATTTAATACTGCAGATGCCTCCTTGTGACAGGCCTACTCTCAGGACAAACCCCTTGACAAGCACAGTGAAATAGTCAAGTGATTACTTTACACTGGGCCCCACGTTGTACATGATCGGCGTTATTAGTATCAAAACTGGTTAATTTAAAACAATTCTATCTTATTGCGCTGGTGCTATTTAGTTATGTCAGGCCCCACACAGAAAAAGTCCTGAGGGGAAGTTGGCCACACTGAAATGAAACCTAAAATATAACATTCAGTGAACTGACAGCAACAAAGCATGCAAAAGCCAGAACACTTATCATACCATCCTTTGCCAACACAGGCACTAACGTCAGCAGGAACTCCAGCGAGGCTGAAGCCCGAGGCCTTCACTGCTCACCAACAGACTAACCCAGAGCACAGCAAGACTCCCTACACAGCACAACCATGACAGCTTTAAGCTATACAAAAGTTTTGATACGACGTTGCCAGATATAAGCTAGATGCAGGAAAGCCAGTTTCTGCAGTATGCTCTCGTCTCCCTACCCATCTCTCCTGCAAGTGAAGACAAGCCCTAGAACTACTGTATTCTGCAGGCACGTTGCTGGATTTCCTAAGTGTGAGCAGCCCGTGCTCGCACACCAGCTCCCAGCACATCCCTGGGTGCCTCAAGAAGCTACTGTGCCCTCATGTTGCAGCACAACTACAGCACAGGACCTGCAGACACTGATGGGAACCAGCTTTTCCTTGAGCATGGACTCCTCCAAGCCAAACACCAAGTCTAAATGCCGATGAGGTAGGAGTGAGGGCTGCCTGGCAGGGATGTGGGTAGTATTCCCACTGCAAGTCCAGCCAACGTAATTAAATGATCATGACTTATGTCCAAACTCTCCTGTGTAAGCAGAACATGGGGAAAACCAACTCCCTTTGGAAATCTAGAAGCAGATCTCACATCCCATCTACCCAAAGTACTGTCTGGAGTATGGGAGCTTCCCCTGCAATGCTGGAACTTCGCTGGGGTTTGGCCTGGGTGGAGGCAGCCCCGCTCACAGCAGAGCTGTGGTTTGTCTGCTGGGTGCCATCAGCACACCCCCTGATAGTGATGCCTGTTACATCTGGGCTCCTGCACACATCTCGCTGAACTAGTGGTCTATTCTCTTACTTAAGGCAGGCTTATGGTTCTTCCTGCCTCAAAGGTCTGAAAAACCACAGAAGCTTGGATTTAAGCTCAGATCTCACTCACGAGAAAGGTCCTAGAATGGAGACTCTGGATGTGCAGACCTTAGTTACACATACACCCCAATGGCAGCATTCAAAATCCTCTTGATTTTCATTCCCAACTGTTACTTGCTAATACCACAAGGGAATGCTACAGAGAAAGCTTAGGGTCCAAATTAGAGCTCTTTAGGAAGCTGACTAATCACAGTTTTATTTAATTTATGTCAGCGTAAACAGCTTACAGTTACTTCTTAGTTCAGTATGGGTTGAAAAGTTTCTTTTCCATCTGTGCTTTAACTTAGAAGCTCACCAGAGCATCACGTACTTGCATACAACAGAGTCTCATCTTACCTTAGGATCCAAGTGGAGAGGAGTGTTGTATCGGATAAAAGATTTTATCACTCCGTTTCTCCCCACAGAGCTCGGCGTCATGAGGAGCTGGTTCTTCTGCACAGTGTGCAAAAACGTTTTGAAAGGACGTACAACCTGTAAGAGGAATACCAAAAATGGTCCTCAGGAGCGTGACTAAGAAAGGGTCTTGGTGAAGTTCACCAGGATTACAAAGATCTTACTTTGCTGGCTGGAAAGACAGAGGATGGGGTCTGTCTTCTTGGAGGAGAAAGCCCTCCATCTTCTGCTTGCTGATGGTCATAGCGTTCGTCCACAGCTCTCTTGTAACTTGGCTTTCTCCTGTCAGAAGAATACAGTCCATCACACCTGGCAAATCTCCTGATGGTCTCGAAGTCAGGTTTAAGAAAAGGTCATAAAGCTCTCCTAGCTGAAAAGATACTTGATTGCCTATGCACAAGTAGTAACCCAGTAACAGATTTCTCATGTGATAGATACAAATTAAATCCTCTTTTCATTGTGGTAGAGAAAACTACCTGCAAAAGTCTCGCAGTCACAGAACACTGAAGCCCTTTTAACAATGTTTCAGCCTTGAACCTGCTTTGAACCAGAGGACAGATCTCCAGAGGCACCTTCCAGCTGGAATGATTCTACGAACATACCTGGCACTCTGGGGTGGCTCCTGGGTCTCCCCTTTATTTGAGTTGCTTTCTGAAAGAAAACAGTTACAGTCAGCTCCAGCAGAAGAAAAATCCCTTCCAACACAGCTCTGAAAACAGACAACAGATATAGCAGCTCACTAAAGAGCAAAAACCCTGCCATGAATTACACTCAGCAGGACCTTTCTTGCTTTCAGCAAGCAGCCACACAGCGACAGTCAAACCCAGAAATAGAAAAGGCAAAGCTGCCTGGTCTGCAGCACGCAGCTCGTTCTAACACAGCGCCGTTGTGCTCAGCAGACACACCACAACTGCTCGCTCATGAAGGGGGTTGGACCAGGCCTCCCCCAACCCCCAGAACCCTCCGTCCTCATGCCACGAGCTTCCCAGGGTGGAAAGTGACTCCAGAACAGAATATCCTAACTGCTGATCTCTTGAAACAAATCCTTGCTTGTCAAAGATTAGTCTTTCAAACTGGGCTCTCAAATTAACTAGACAATCTCTCAAACCTCCCAGTCAGCCTCCCAACAACGCAATAATTTTAAAAAATTTTGCCACAAAACCCCTCTGGAAGTTACCGTTGTTGCCTGGCTCCTGTGGCTGCTCCTTTCTGCTGATGGTTCGAGAGCGAAGTGACATTCGTGGGCTTTGGGGATTCTGTAGGAAAAGCAAATGGGTTTCAGCACAATTCTCACACAGAAACAGCCAATTACTGTTTCAAATCGTGACATCATTCCGACAAGGACACTGCAATACTGCCATGGAATGCAGAACCACATAGCAGAAAGTATTGGAGCCAGTACCCAGAGGGAGATCCTAACCTCCAGCTGAGAAAAATACCTCGGGACACGTCCTGGTAAATTCCCTAATGTCCTGTCATTGCTAGAAGCACAGAGGTTCCCAGAACATGGGTATCTGCAACGAGGGACCGGCTGCTTAAACCGAACAAACTCATAAACTATTAAGGACAAAAGCGTTTCAAGTTGGAAACTGTTTATGGTTGCTGAACCACCTTCACCGAGCAGTGATGAATGGACAGCCAGGGAGACAGCAAAGACAAGCAGCCCATTTCCTTGATTTATGGGTTGGTTACAGAAGCCATTATTTGCCGCCTTTGCACTTCCACTGGCAGAGAATTGTTGAGATAATGGCTTTGGATATCTGAGAACAGGCAGCAACCCCGCAGTCCATGCTCCGCTAGCAGGGCCAAGGTTAACTCTGCTCCCCAAGCCCGTGGGGGCTGGCGGGCACAAAGGAGACAGGAAGAGAATTAAAAAGAAGTATGGAAAATTTCTCCTCCCCAAATGTTTCTGTAGGGTCTTACCCTAAGGCTGGGGACAGGAAGCATCTTGTAGCCTGACAGAAGGATGTAGATCTAATGAATTCGAGAGCAGGGCTGCGAGGATCTGACCTTTGGGGGAGCACACGCGCAGAGGCGCTGCCTGTGTGCCCTTACAGACAGGTGTTCTCTGGGCCGAGGGGGCTGCTGCAGCACTGCCCTCCATGCACTCACAGCTCCCAGAGGAAATCTCTGGCAGAAACCAAGCCATGTTTAGTTTCCCAAGAAAAGTGCTGCTAGATGGACAGAGGGAACCTGGGCTGAGTGATCCCACTCCCAGAGCAGCGGAAGGGGAATGAGAGGTGAGGATCAGGGCAGATGACACGCTACACAGACCAGCCTCTGTTTATAAATCCACTGGGGTACAGAAACAAGAGGTACGAGCCCTCCACTGGTCTGCAGAGCAGTCCATCCCTCTCTTCTCCCCCTCTGCCCTTTAAGCTTTCCTACAGTTGTAACTCAGGCAAGCTAAAAATCCAGAGGCAGTAGAAAAGGGGAGTTTATTTGAACTTTTGCAGCTTCACTGACAAGCGTGGCCATAAAGGCATGTGTAAGCCCATCCTTGTTTACAGAACTGCTTGAGGCACAGAGCTCCACTTCATTAACTCAGCCTTAACTCACTGAAAATTATTCCGAGCAAAATCGTGACATCATCCTGGGATTTTTTCCTCAGGAGGGCAGTGAGAAATGTGGAGGGATACGTTTTGACCTGGATGGTATTTACAAATTTCTGTGTTTGTCTTAAGACAAACTGACAAGCTTTGAATAATCTGCAGGACTAAGAAAAAGGTCAATAGAAGCTTTAAAAATACAAAAATAGTAATAGTGTACAAACTCTGTACAACTCAAAAAACTTCCCCGAATTTTAAGTTTATCTTTATAGATTCAGAACTGAATTTTCACACAACTGATCTCTATCAAGAGGCTGAGAAGCAAGACCTGGCAGGACTCAACTCAGAACACCAGCGCTGGCATGCACCAACCCATCACTTACATTTAAATATATTTATGCCACAGCAGCGAAAATGCTGTTTTCTAGTCAAAGCTAGCCTTGCTCTGAAAGCACCTGAGATCGTAACACCATGCTGACAGAATACAGCTACCTGCATCTTGCAAATAAAACTTTATTGGTCTTGCCAATTTTGGAACACTGTGATTAAACCTGACTTGCCAAGCCTTGACAGGCTAAAGAGCCTGTTGCCCAAGTCCAGCAATCTATGGCCAGAGATCCCCAATTCCCCAGTAACAAACGAGAGGTGTGTTCAACACCACCTGCCCACAAGTCCACACAAACAGAAGCGCTTCTAATCTCTGCTCAAATCTTACCAAATTGGAAGGGGTACAAGATCCAGGAGGAGGCCTAGAAAAAAAAAAAAGTCAGCTGTGTTTAATAACATCAAGGAAACCGGGAAGCCATTTGTTATCTGCAAGCAGTGCATTTTATACCAAGAATATCACTGTAAAAAAAATCCTCCAACAGGATATTAAAGATAACATAATATCTTAAAATCATCTTACCTAATTTTGACAACTGTTTCTTCATCCTCTGGCACCTCTCCAGAGCTGGAGGCTGCAGGAAAAGAAAAAACATGCCAGAGCTGTAAGAAAAGGGGTGCAGACCAAGGCTCTGAGGGAGCAAGGTTTACCCAAGACAGCCGCAGAGGCCTTTGCTCTGCCCTGTCAGTGCTGCCACGTGCCGCTGTGAGCGAGGGCAGTTCAGTGGCCTCGAGCAGCACCAGAGGAAATGCTGCCCGCAACTTTAATGTAAGACAGCAGATGCTCTCAATTATAGATGAGCTTCAAGTACTGTTCAACGAGCTTACATTAAGAGCAGCCAGGTCTGGGCTCAGCCTGGGCCGCAGCCAGCAGGAGATAGAGGCAGCGTTATTTACAGTGCCAGCGCTGCTTCCCGCCAAGCGTCCCCCGGCTCCACAGTAGCCGGCTTTTAAGTACCACACAGCCGGAAACTGCTGCTCATAATTAAGGCAGTGATGCAGCTTCAGCCTGGGCAGGGAACACAGGGGCAGAGCACAGAGGCTGAGCGAGCAGCTGCTGCCCGACTTCCATGACGGTGTGGCCGAGGGAGCCCAGGCACAGACGATGTATGTGGCCAGTGCTGCAGGGACACGGCAGACACACTCTGAGGTCAATTAACACACTTCGAGCATTAAAGAGATCAACTGGAGCTGCCTGAAACATCGCAGTTCCCCTCCTCACACCCGGAAATTTCGACTAGGCAGAAGAGCAGTTGTGTCAAATAGCACAGAAGTAGTAGTAAAGCCTTCCTTAAACCCCCCAGGTAATCCAGATCCAGACAATACCAACCCATCATTTAAACTGGGTAGATAAAGCTATTCCAGTGCCTCTTCAAAGTTACACATGAGAAGACTTCCCCACAGTTTAATTTTTTACTGAGGGAACCATCAACACTGTACTTAAAAACTTACACAGCTTTCCCAGTGTTTCCCAAAACTTTCCCAGTACTTGTTAGCAGTAGAGGAAACCCTGGACTTCGGACTGCAGTGCTCTGGTTCTGGAAAAACGTTCAACCAGAACAGTTAAATTGGTATAGAAAATACTACAGTGCTTGTCCAGGAATAACCTTCTACAGCAAAGAGGGCAACTCTTCAAAAAAAGCCAGTTTTATACAGCACAAACCCCACCAAGCTACAACACTGCAGACTAACACATTGTTATTTCAGCTGTAGTAGTTCTCCCTTAAAACAAAAGGGCATGCTGTGCAAGAAAGCCAATCTCTCCTCAACATCAAATGGTGTGGAAAAGGTTCTCTTGCATTTGAGGAGCCATGTACTAGCCACTTTCCCTCAGCTTGAAAAATGAGCAAGGTTATATCCATCTCTGTGTTCTCCTGCACCACATCCAACACCTGCATTGCCATAGCACTGAAGAATATTTAAATCAGTTTGTCCTTTGCTGAAACTTGCCTCTACCGCAAACTGTAAAAGCCTTGAAGACTTTTAATAAGTTTACAAAGTTCAACCTCAAAATTCCCTTCTCAAAAGAGCTCTAGACCAAGCAGCCAGATATTGTTTAAAGAGCAGTGGATTTATGATGGCTACCTCATTTCCCAGAAAAAAAGCTGGCCTTTGTGAGAGCCCAAACCCTCCTTAGCATCCTCCAGCAGCAACAACCTGCTCACCAGCCTCCTCCTTCACCTTGCGAGCTGCTGCTGCAGAAGCTCGGAAGACATTCGAGCTGTTCTCCAGAGAATTTACAAGGCCGAGTCCGCAGGCCATGGACTAGCAGCTACCTGGGATTCTCTACTCATGCAGCTCTCAGAAAAGCCAGTTAGAACATCCACACAGGCGCCTGGCCAAAGAGGATCAGCTGTGGCACCCAGATGAGGCACTAGCCCCATAATACTGTTTTGCTTCAGCAGCGAAGAGCAGTGGATCAACAAATAGAGCAGAAAAAGTGCAAAGCAAACCCATCTGGTGCCATTCAAACTTACCTTCCACATGACTGGAGGACACGGATGACTTCCAAGCTGTCTTCCTCTTGGCTGTTGCCCTTGTAGCTGATTTCCGGATCATACTTTCCCTCTTGCTGGCCAGTGAGTATTTCTCTGCCAAGGAGGTTCTGCGAGTCATGGAAGTTTTGCCCATCAGGCTTCTGCGCACCGAGCGCCGGCTCAGCCTCGAGCGTGTCGGAGTCCCTGGGCTGTCCCTTATGCGCTGGGGTGGCTCCTTGTCCAACCCCTCCTCTACCTGAGCAGAGTCCTCACCATCCTCCAGCCTAGACTTCTCACTTAAAATGACAGTAGTATTAGCTGCCTTCAGCTCAGCTGCAGCCTCACTTCCCCCTTCATTGCTTGCCTCAGGGGTGTGAGGAACCATCAGCTCGGCAGCTGTAGGCCCAGGAGGTGATTTGACCACCCTGCTCTGCCTGGGAGAGCCACCATCAGAGCTCAGAGAGATGCTGGTGGAGAGCTGCTCTGCAGGTCCGGGCGTGCTCTTCTGGAGATGTTGCTCAGCACAAATGCAACCACTGACATCAATCTCCTCTAAGGAAACCTGCCTTTCTTCTTGCTGGGCCAAGGGGGTCTCAGGAACACCCTCCAAGCTTTTAGCAGATGTTACAGCTTGGGACCTTGTCACGCGTTGAGGTGGAGACTGTTCTTTGGCCTCAGCCCTGCTTAGTTCCAGCCTTTCTTTATTTCGGAGTCGCTGAGAGTATCGTATAGAGCTTACCAGTTTGAGACTGCTGTTCCTCCTTCTAGATAATCTAACAACAGAAACAGTGTGTTAGACTGGGACTGGATTCAAGAATAGACCGAAGTCCTTCCATGCAAAGGGGAACGTGCAGAAAAAGTTAAAACACCTGGGATGAGCCTTTCTGAGAGCTCAGTATACACAGGACTGCAGAAAGAGGCTAACACGGAAAACAGCTAACAGACATAATTTCAGAGCAGAATAGATAAAGAATGAAGAAATGCAGCGACATAAAATGGAGGGGAGCACCCAGTGGAACCTTTAACACAGGGGCAAAGGGAAGGCCTCAAGGACACGCCATTATCTTGGCGTGACCTTCACCAGCGGAGGTTTTCAGCCCCCCAAAAGCCGCCTTCCCTCTCCAGGCGCCATGGGGACCCTCCCTGCTGCACCTTCGGCCGCCCCGTCCCCTCCTAAGCGGCACTTCCCGAGTTCAGCGCCCCGGCTTCCACCCCCTCGCGGGCGGGCCTACCGCTTCCTGCCCGGCTCCACACTCTCCTCCTGCGGGCCGCAAAGCCGCTTCCTCCGCTGCCGGTTCTTCTGCGACGGCGTCTTGGGCATCAGCTGCGGTTCATCACCGCAATGGCTTCGAGGGGATGGGGAGAGGCGAGGGGTCAGTGCGAGGTGAGGCCGGTAACGGCTCGGTACGGGGAGCCGGG